CAGCATAGGAAGGTTAATGTACACGTTTGCAAGACTGCCAAAGCCGGGTTTGTATAGGACATTTTCTTCCATGGGCACGTGGAAACTTACCGCAACATTCCTTCATGTCAATCTACTGTGCATTCCAACTTGGACTTTTTTTTACCGAAACGGAACGTTTATTGGCTGTGTTAATAAGACCAGCTGATTACATTGCCTGTGCAGTACAAATCATGACGAAATTGGCAAAATCTGACAAAAAAGGACAAAATCAGACCAATTTGGCTAAACTTGCCACAAATACGATGTAGGCGTGTTATCTTGGCACGCTTCACTGTGTGTGCATGGCATGCTGCTGTACTGTGCGCAGGGAGACTAGGAACCATACAACCATTTTTGATCGATCTCTGTGTAGCATAGTCTGGTTGTAGGTTTAGCAAGGTCGCGGTCAATCTGCATTGTACGGAGCTGTTCCCATTAGACTTTTTGCACCCCTGCTAACTTCCCATGGCTGTGCCGAAATCTTCTTCAACCTTTTTTAGGCTGTCAGTTTTACATCATGATCGCGGTAAGTTGACAGGGCGGTGGGTTGACAGGGACGTAAGTTTACGGTGTGTTCTCACTGGATTTAATATTGTATTTCTACAGGACAGTGGCGGTAAGTCAAACAATAAAGGTCCAATAGGAACACAAAGATGCATGTAGGCTGGGTAACCCAGGTTACAAAGGTTCAAATCCTGCTTTTTGGGCGGTCAGTTTTCTGATAATAGTCAGCAGCAAATGCACTTCATACTTCGCTGTCTCTGGAATGCTCTGACTTCGTTGTGCATTCACAATGCCTCGAACATATCCCAATTCAAGCACACTGTGAATGGGCATCTTTCACAGCAAACGCAACTGGATCGGTTTTCTGCCGTCCATCTTTTCTATCTTTGTACGTGTACGTTCAAGTCGCCATCACCTCATGAGTGGCCCTTAATAGACCTTGTGTTGGGTGACCTGTATCTTAAAAACACTTTACAGTTATGGTAACTGAGATGTATTGTGTACTTTCTCTAGTGACCGCACTGTACATTACGCATTGCCAATCTATATTGAGTTTTGGATTCCAATGTGCTTGTGAAATGTTGCCGCCGCCTGTTGAAATGCATGTTGCCTGGCCCAATCATCCATTTTTTTCCCCAATTTTTAAAGTTCTTTTGCTTCTTTATTTTTAAAAAATTGACCCTATGTTTACTATCCACAGGGGTTTTCTTCATTTTGGTTTGATAGATTCGCACCCCAAGTAAGATTTTCTTACACGGAAATAAAGTCTGAAATCCATTCATTACAGACTGGTCTAGTGCAACAGAAGTATAACAGAAATGGTAGCAGACTCACTGGAAACGGTCCCTTCCTGGTGCCTCTGATGGAAGGACTGGAAGCTGGTCCACTGGCCGGCAGAGGAGGCTCCCGGGCTAGATCAGGGGGCCTGGGCCCCAGCGTCGGGGGCCGCTCTCCATTCCAGACAGCTCCCCTAGGGGGGTTCTGGTGAGAGGCGTGGTGGGGGTCCTGCCCAGTTCCTCCGGCGCCGGGGTACTGGTTGGGGGGCAGGCCCTGCTGGTTGATGGGGTGCAGGAGCCGCATGGGCAGGCCGTCGTCGTAGTGCATGTAGTGATCCACCAGTTGTTCGATGGTGCCAAAGTAGGGGCCGTCGTCGATGAAGAAACTCTCTCCCTGTTGGGGTTTCACCAATAAGTCCTCATGTTTAATACACCAAATGGAGGTTAGGTTGGACGATAAAGTGTGACAAAAAAGCCACGAGTTTTACCATGTCATTGATGACGGAGCATAGCTGCTCTTAATAGACAGTGTAGTAGTCGAGACCATCGGAAGACCAGACACAAGACCAGTCACAGGTAAATGGTTGAACAAGGACAAAGGAATGCTTCTGTTGCAGTTTACTTAAATGGCTTGTGACTTGAATTCGGACTGGAGGTCTTGTGTTGGTCTTGTGTGGTCTTGTGAAGGCCTTAAGTGGTCTCAACTACCGGTATGAGGCTGCTCTGGAACAAACACCGCTTACTTTAATTGAGAGCGCCTACTGCTCCACCTGGTAACAATGCCTTGTTCCCGATTGGGAATATCAGTCAATGCCTTTGCACGCTGTAATTGGGGATGGCCAATTCTCAGTAGGAATGCCACAAAATCCCACACAGGGTTTACTCCATGAAGGAGCATTCCAGAGGGAACACTCCGACTTGGGGGCTGCCGAGGGCATCCAATGCTCTCCCAAGTCATCAACAGCCATGACAATGTGGTTATTGATCTTTCAATTAAACTCTTAAATCTTTTCTTGACAACTCTCGTAACAAATACACGTACGTCACAGCTTTGCATCTGCTTTGTGAAGTCACAGCGCGAAATAGCACACAGCATTCATGGTGTGCGCATATGACGGAGCATGGCTTGTGCGGTAACACAGGTTACCACAGTTTTGTCCCACTTTTTTTTTTACCTTCTTGTTGATTTCAAAGTTGTAGATGCTGCCGTTGGCCGCCATAGACAGCACGTAGACGCCCACTTTGTGGGAGCTGCTCCGGATCAGGAAATGGCCGTCCTTGGCCCCTTGCCTCTGGATCACCTCCATGGCCTTGTTCCGGTCCAGCAGCCCATGGTCCCAGTGACCCCTCACGGTCTTGGGCATCAGGGGCTGGTAGTTCTCTGTCGTGGGGGAGAGCCAGGTTTGATATTATCAGTCACCGGGTCTGCTCATGGAAATATATTCGATTACCAGAATGCAAACTCTTCATTTCCCCGGGCGTAGAAACTTTGAAACTGTCCTGAGAGCAGACATCATTTTTTTGAATTTAGAGTGCGTGTCTGTAGAGTGTAATTGGAGAGATGGAAGAAATTCAGAGCAACTCGATGGGCAAGTACAGCGTAGTAAGATACATGAAAAAGCCTCATCAAAATTCATCTGCTGTCAGTATGTGCAAGCGTTTACATTGTTTACACGAAGTAAGATAAAACATTCTTGAACTGTCTGTGCATTTTGGTCTTTTGACAAAAGGCTAATGATGCATCCAGGGCTGAGTCAATTCGAATAATTCACTATTTGAATATTTGATCTTCAATTCGATTGAATATTCGAACATTCGGTCGTACTGACTGGCAAATTGTTGATGAACAAGTCATATACAAAATCAGTTACTATAACGCACACAGTTATACATTATAATTACCTAAGCTTCTCACGTCTAGGAGTACGGAGTATCTCCAGCCATGAATGATTTGGCAAGATTTAAGAGATGCACAACACTTCGATAATCAATTGAATATTCAGATATTTGGGACAACACCAGATGCATCATTTTAGAATATGGACAAAGATGTGCATGCAGCATTTTCTGAAGATTTGTACACAAACACGGATGCACCCAGCAAGCTTCAATTTGCTCTGCAAAGTTTGCACTCTCGCAGTTTAATGCAGCTGTGAGGGTTTGCACAACAACAGCGAAGCGAGATAAATACATGTACTAGGTCCGTATCCTGTAATCGTGTGCTTTTTTCCAAATTGCAACTTCGTCTTTCTCCTTGGACTTCTTCTCAAGCAGTTACTGCTGAAATCAGATCAAAATGTTCCCAATTTTTTGGTTTGGTTTGAGATGATTCAATGTGCCTATGGCAGGAACCTTAACGAGCTTGAGGATCTCAAATTGGTGGGACTACCGGTGCAACTGCGTAAATGACGGCCTCGAGCCCAAATTGAGGACACGCCCAGATTTGGCAAGTTGCCCCTACTCAAAACAAGGAAGTGACAGCATGTCAGTGACTTCTCCAAAAGGTTCCACAGAGTGCAGAACTTTCGCTATTATGGCTGTTTCACATTCTTTACTCGAATTTGACAACCAATTTCAGGAAGTATGGAAAGGGGAATAATGCCCAACTACATGTGTCTTCACTTTGTAGGGCTGAGTCAATTCGAATAATTCACTATTCAGATATTCAACCTTCAGTTCGTCTGCATATTCAGTCGATGAACAAACCGTATACAAACTCAGCTGCAGTAACACACACAGTTGTACATTATGATCACCAAAATAGCTTCTCACGTCTAGGAGTACATGTATTTCCAGCCACGATTTAGCAAGATTTAAGAGACAAACAATACTTCTTGCCCTGTTGAAAACGTCTAATTCTTTTCAATTTTTTAATGAATAATTTACTTTTTGAACTGTTGTAAGATTTTGGTCACTTTTCATTTGAATCTACTTGAAACAAGCCTCCACAATGCAATTTTTCACATTTAAAATGAAGAAAAATTCTCCCTTCCTTTCCATGAAATTTGCATTCGCATGTTCAAATGTGGAAAAAAATATTTGATAATCGAAAGAATGCCATAAGACGCGAGTTTGGAATAATTGCCTTTCGATGTTTGTTTCCAATTTGGCAAAGCACGTGCAAATGTTGACACAACACACACGCGCACGCGGATATCACAATTTGTCAGTTCAGAGTACGACATCCCATAGCCGCAATCAGTTGAATGATGAGACCCTGTTCACGATGCTGAATTTGGGCGCAATTCCAAACATGACTTAGCAACTTTTGAGTTGAAACAAGGACCTGGAATATTGTTTCTTTGAGGATAGACGGTACTCACTAAGCAAAAACTTTATCAGGTCCGTATTCGGGCACCCTTATTTCCACTTGCGGTGTGACAATGGAATTGCATTTTCAATGAACAGAATGCACGACAAATGATGGACTGTACCTTTAATCGACACATATAACTTGCCTCAACTGTGCAGGCATTTTTGTTTTTTTGGAAAAGGGGAAAACAAGGAAATCAGCTGATCAAAGGAAACGTTGCATGCCTGAACTTGACAAGAAGCGTTGTGGACACAGTCGACTATAACCTCGTGACATGACTGACATCGTGGAGGAATTTTCATTCTTCCTACATGCACATGTAAAATACATTCAGTTGTTTTTTGGTTTTTTTTTTCAGGTGTTTGTGGCGATGGCACAGCTGCATGCGCTGCATTTGGGGCTTATGCGGTTTGTGCATTTCCCCCGAAACAGAGAGACTTACTAAAAAAAAATGGATGGATTTCCTGTTTCAAGTTAACACACATGTCCTCAGCCGCCCACGCCCAGTTGTCTCATAAACACACACACACGCAGAACCGATTTCATGAAACTGCTGAGCAGAGGAAACCTTTACTCGGCAAACTTTGGTCACCGGCCAAAATGGCATGTGATTTGTACCGCTTAGTGACTGGTTCCCAGCTGATATTCATTTCTTTGGTATTTCTGGAATGCATGTAGGTGTGCATAAATGCATGTGGACATGTGTATCACTGAAACCGATAGCGTGGGTGGACCCTGTCGTTCTTCTCTGCTGTTTGCTCTTGGTTTTGTTTATCAGGGAAAGGGCTCGTTTTGAGGAGATTTGCACTGTGCCAACGGGTCCTGGATGGTTTCTGGGTTTTTCCCCTTTACTGAAATGAGGGGTGAGAGAAAAATTGCACTATGGAGGCTTGTTTCCAGCAGATTCAAATAAAAACTGACAGAAATCTTACAACGATTCAAAAAATACTGTGAATTATTCATTAAAAAATTTAAAAGGATGAGACATTTTCGACAGGACAAGAAGTATTGTTCATCTCTTAAATCTCGCTGAATTGTGGCTGGAGATACTCCTAGATGCGAGAAGCTATTATAGTGGTTATAATGTACATTGTGTGCATTATTGCCACTGATTTTGTTGACGGTTTAAACATCAACAATATGCTGGGCAGTAAGACCCAATATTCGGATATTCAATCAAGGTGGAATATTCAAAAAGTGAATTATTTAAATTAATTCAACCCTATCTATTGTCTGACAAAGCTGGGTGAAACATGCTTACCTACATCTACATATTGCATACATGTCCATATGTGCAAATTTACATATTCCGAACAATGTACATGTACAACTGTATGCAATATGCAATATACAGTACATGTATATACAGTACATGTGCACATACATGTACATGTACATGCAATGTGCAATATACAGTATATATACATGTACATATGCAATGTGCAATATACGGTACATGTACATGTACAGTATATGCAATGTGCAATATACAGTACATGTATATGCAATGTGCAATATACAGTACATGTATATGCAATGTGCAATATACAGTACATGTGCAATATGTAATATAAATGGATTCCTTTAAGCTACATGCCTCTATGAAGAGAGTACATGTATTTGCACCATGCAACTGTGTACATACATGCGTATCAAAAACCAAAAGGTTGAATCATTTCAGGTTTTTCTGGACGCTCACGTTCTTGTTCAACCCCCCCTCCCCCATCCCAACTCAACTTCTGACAGCATAGAAACTGTGGGTCCTGACCCCGCCTCCTGTTTCGCATCTCTCTCACTCTCCAACCAATTCCTAATCCATGAATTCTCTCTATCGGCCCCAAACTTACTCAGTGCTCGGATGGTAACCTCGTGCTCGTAGCGCCGGGCCAGGTCCAGGGGCGTGTCGTTGTCCACGCTCCGGGGGTGGCAAGGCGCCCCAAAGCGCAGCAGCTCCTCCACGCACTTGGTGTGACCGCGCATGGCCGCCTCATGCAGCGGCACCCAGCCCGTCATGGGATGGCGGAGGGTGGGGTCGGCGCCCCGCTGGAGAAGCAGCCTGCAGATATGGTGCAGGTCGTGGATGCAGGCCGTCTGGCGAGGATGAAATAAGATTCAATATTACTCTTCCGGAAGATAACTTTACATGACTCGACACTGTGATCACTCAGGTCTGATTATAAAGAGACTGTTTTGGTTAAGAGTCCTGCTCAAGAACGCAAAGTCAACGATCCCCACCAGTGTTCAATCCCACACACAATTTCTGCTCGGAAGTGAGTAGAAACCTGCAGAAACGAGATGAACGTACAGATGTGTCAAACTCCCTTCATGATTAGTTTGGCTTCAAGAACAGCATTTTTAATGTACCAGTTTGGAATCTATACGTGTATTTTCTCAGCCCTTGAAGGTAGCTGCATGCATGCATTTATGCTCCTGGATGGAGAGAAGCAGTGGCATTGAATTTGCAGGCTTCCGTTTTTACAACGTAATTTGGAAGAACTACCTGTGATCGGACATGTTTCTATGAAAACTGCTATACGGTTCTACAAATCAAAGAATAAAAACTTCTCGAAGAAAAGAAAATGCCGATCAAATGGCAAATGTGCAATGACTGCAGTCTGTCGAATTTAACGGGAACTCTGGATTAATTTCAGGCCCGATACTACCGGTAGGCTGAAGCTGATATACATGTATGAATGCCTTTTTGGATCAGGACACATTTCTGAGAATTTCCAAAACAGGTGGTTCTCACGTTGCTGTTATTCTCGTTTTTTGCAGGGTGTGATCAGAGGATCTCTGCGATTGGTTGATCGTGCTGCAGTCAGTGAAATCTCGACTTATACAAGGGTCATTCCAGAAATTAGAGGTCCAAAAGTGTGACATTCTGATGTCCCTGTTACATCTGACCTTTGTTATTTGACATGGAGATTTATATCACCGGAATTGATTTCAAACTACTACTGTTTGTTTGGCAGGTAATTTGCATTAATTCATCACTCTCGGACATTAGAAAATGCGTTCTGAACTTAAAATCATATGTCAGATGTGACAGGGACACACGCACAAAAATGGACCCCTAATTTCTGGAATTACCCACAAGTGTGTCGGTGTTTCCCATTCACAAACGATCTCACAGAGGTGTGGAGTGAGAGAGGAAAGATCTAGTGGATTGGAGAGACATCAACAGGTGGCATCACGATTGACCAATCATCACGCAGTGTGATCCTGCAATTGTGCCCGATATATATGTCCAGAGCCTGTTTGTTTCACACGGATCTGGATCACGGTCAGCGATCCCAGAGCTGGTTCCCGCTATCCACTAGGCAGGTTCTGGTGTCAGTGAACCAACGACGGATCACTGATTGCACTGCGGATCCACGCAAAACAAACAAGCCCTCAGTTTGGGGGGTGTTTCTCTTATCTCAGCTTTGTCTAGGCCTCCGGTTGCTGACTACTTCCCAAAAACCCACCAGTTTTATACATTTGAAAAATGAAGCTGAAGTTGCAGGTGATGATCTGGCTTTGGCAATGGAAGGCCCAACATGGCTGAAGTATTGAGTATTGAGTGTTGAGTATGAGTATTCCTCACAGGTTTCTGAGCTGCTGAATGTCCGTAACTTGCTGTGTCGCAGCCAGTACTAATGCTGAAACGTCTACGGGAAAGTGCTTCAGAAACAAGCCCGTCGCTCCCATAGGCGTGAGCGTTATACAGGTACTGGAAGTACAGTATGTATCAGCCCAGACATTTGATGCAACATTACTATGTAATCATCAGCCAACCTCTCTGATATCAAATGCTCTACGGATCTAATCCTACCCGTAAATGTGCATTGCACACAGACATTCGTTTTCAGAATATTGCCAACATGTGGAAGCACAGACCCGAGCTTATTGGCATGCGAACAACCTGATCAGCTCTCAAGTCTCTAGAAAAGCACTCACCAAGAAACGAAGATAAAAGTGCAAAGCGTTTCATTTCTCAAGTGGGGGAACTCCGAAATGAAGAAGGGATTCTGTTGAATGCAACATTGCCTGAATTATGAGTCAACTACTTCAATAAACATGGAGGTGCTGCAAACAATGCAATGAAACCATCATGGAAGTCTGATAGGAGAATGTACAAGTAGATACTTGTACTTTCGGTAAGTATGTGTAAATTTAACTCCCAGTTAAGGACTCGCTCAAGCCAGCTCTGCGTTGGAAAACTGGTCATTGTGAAAGAGCTCACATGCCCATTACGTTAAGAATTCCCTGTACCAAGTTCCAATCATTCAGAAGTGAAATTGCCAGATGAAGTCCACAAAATACCCAACCGACGACCTGTGACAATGACGACAGTAAAATATGACAACTTTAACTGGCTTTCGATCTGTGCTGAGAGCTGCAATGCACCCTCGCCAGTGAGACAGGCTTGTGGATGGGTAATATTTCAACTGGTCTGGTTGACGTGCCCGGTGCAGACACAAAGACTGTACATTCAAACATGAGTTGGTCCTGTTGGTTCAGGGTGTCTGACGCCTTGCGTGCACAAACCTCTGCGCGCACGCGATAAGTTCCCACCAAAGAACCGGTCAAAGCTCTGCAAAAGCACGCCCTCTCATGTTCCCACTCAAAGCAGATAGGTAACGCACTATGACATCTTTCCCAATGGATATGATTACATGTACATGTGAAACTATCACCAAGTGGTGAAACTTTCACCAAGTGGTAAAAGTTGAATGAGTAAACCTCTAAAAAAAAAATCCACAATGTGGGGGGGGGAATCCTGAAATTCAGGAAACAAGTGCCACAAAATCACACTCCTGAATAATTTATGGAGCTTTTATTAACAAAGTACATGTATACCCCTTAAAATATCAACTGCAACCCCTACCCCTCCCCTCTGAGTCCTGGAATGTTCAGTCACAGAATTTTACTTAAAATGCCCCATCTGCATGCACATTTATATCCCCAAGTGCCCAATGCACGGCCAGGAGTGAGCCTGTCTCAGATTATCGCAAGGAAGCATTCACACTCTCCGGGGAAGCATTCCATAAAAAGGACCTCCGGTTGTGTGTCGTTCCAAAGCACGTACGACCTTTAACAAAACTTCCTCCGAGCCTCCCCTCCCTGTCACTGGCCGCCACTCATGACGGGTGAATCGCGGGGCATCACTCACTTCCCTACTGCAACAGGAGGGCACAAGGTTGGCGCTGCACGCGTACCGTAGCTCTGAATCTCGCCCGTGGGTCACTTACGAACTTGTCACTTCCCTCCAATCATAACATACGGTACCAACACCCAACCTGCTATTTTAGGAGACAGCCAGTGGGTCACATAATACGAGCATAGGGTATTATGTTGGGTTACTGCTGATATGCACATTTAATGCAGTGGCGGACCCAACATTTACAAAAAAGGGCAGCTCAGCATCTACCCGGGGGGGAGGGGAAAGGGGAAGGTTGCCCACACGCAAGTGAAGTCGAACAACCTCGTGGGTCATACACATATTTTCAGTGAAAATTTCTGTCAACAACGCTTGATTTTGACTTAACACCTGACCAGCTGAAAAAAGTGCTGTGGCCTCCTTCCAGAACAGAATTCCTAGCCTGCGGTCACCTACAAACGAGCATTGTACATCAAGAATTACAACCGAGGCCACCTCTTCCACAGTTACTGATTGTGGTTTACATTGTGATATCAGATTCGAACCAATGGCCAAATGGCAAACACAGGACAAGTTTGATCAAGGACGACTAATTAACTGGAGGTTGATTCATGACGTACATGTACCTGGCAAATGTGCAGTGAAGTTGAAGTGCGAACGACCCTGGTCAACCGTTGTCAGGTCATTAAGCCGAAGAGGAGAAAAAGTGGCCACAGGAAGGGCAAAATAACAAAACTAAATGGTCATTTACTAGTGACGTACTGTTTTTCTGGCATTTTTCTTATAACTGGTCCTCTGGGTATTGTGCTGTTGAAAATAGTTTATGGCAACCACCGATGCGACCAACCTCAATAGGCTGGTTGCGAATAGTTGACTAAACTAGTCCAACTATCGTCGAATAGCGTGTGTTCAATCAGCAAGAGTTGATATATGGTTAACTATGGTCCTTGATCGAACTCGCCCACATCTGCACTAGCATGAAGGAAGCACTGAGTTTGAGTTGATCCAAGTGAGCCTGTGAGTTGTACTCCTCGTGAGTTCTCAGACAGAACCGAGTGTACGGTGCATACTCGCAATAGCCCAGTATGCTGATGACGTATCACTGTGTTTCCCACAGTGCATGCTGGGATAGAATGAGGGTTGCCGCATGCCACGAGTAGGAGAAATTGTAAAACTACAATTTCCATTTGATCACAAGGAACTAAAAAAAGAAGTCAAGGCACAAGCTTACTGTTTCCAGTTGCGGAGGATAATTTCCCTGGAAGATGCAAAATGATGGTTACTTAAAAAAAATGTCTTTCTGAAAAAGAGATAATTGCACTCATATGCTTCTGATGACCCTCGTTCTATTCAATTCCCTGCGGTGAACACTGTGATAATTTACATCATCAGTACACAGTGCTATTAATATCTACGCTGGCAAGGGCAAGACGGAATCTTCCATTTTGATCTCCACAATACAATGTTCTCTCAACAGAAACATCACCCCCCTTCCAAAACCATCTCTGGACCCTCCAATCCACCCAGCAATGCCCATTATCACTACTTTGGTCCCTCCCTCCTGCCCAGCAACACCCACCGTCACTTACGTGGAGCGGCGAGACACAGTTGCTGTCCTTACAGTTGACGCTGGCCCCACTCTCCAGCAGCTTCTCCACCACCTTGGCGTCCCCCAGCATGGCAGCATCGTGGAGCACCGTCTGGCCGGCCATGTTGCGGGCATCCAAGGGGCAGCAGTAAGAGCTCTGCAGGATCTTGAGGATGAGGGTCAGGTTGCCGTCCAACACAGCCCTAGAGAAACAGAAAGACCCCCCAAAAATTTGGGATTTGAGGCCGAGTTAAAAAGAATGAAGCCGTTTCTCGTCCCTTTCTGCTTTCTTTGGTCAGATTTGACTCTTTTCCTTCAGTTTATGGGTGTTTTCTTTTTGTAGATCTTGTAACATGTAATGGTGAAAATGTCTTACAGACGCGGAAGTATTAGCCAGAAGCCAAGAAAATTAATCCACTGCCGTAACAAAAGTGCTTTCTTGAAAATGGTTCACCTTCTTCCCTTTGAAAAACAAAAGACAGACAACAAACTTTTTCACTTAGCCCACCCAGAAGTTTACAGTTGACGCAACTGAGGACCCAAAGAAGTTGCACAAAAATAAATCCAACCCTCTCAGCTCTTTCAGAATCTACCACATTTTCAAAAACTTTTAGGAGGGGGAAAAAGTGATGGCCTAAAAATGTATCAATTACTTGCAACTTGATGGAATTCTGAAAGGGACGCAGAACTTTAGAGGCTGCTAGTTTGATTATTAGTGATTTAAGAGGACACTTCGATGTAGGATGTACACTGTCAGGCTTGGCGTCATTGCACCAGACAAGAGTTCCGTATTCTGTTCATTTCTACACTTGGCATGTCAGGATTAAAAGCCAAAAAGTCTGCAGGTCACTCATCCTAAACCTCCATTTTGATCTACAGCTGGTAGTTAAAGCTTTTAACCCCCCCCCCCAAAAAAATCAATGTAATACATGTGTGTCAATGTTCTCATCACCCCAAATGTACTGAGTTTTGTATGTCCATGATGATGCATACTGAGGACTTAAGTCCTCAGAGTCCATCAGTGAGGACTTGTGCATACAACACTGTGCACAATGCTCAAAAGGTTGAATAATGCTATAAAGCCCAAAGGTGTGCAAAATATTAAAGGAACACCCTGACGCACACTGAGGACTTCAGGGCTGTGTCTTAACAAGTTTCAATGCATCCAGGTATCCATTTTTAACACAGGCAGGTACCACTATCTGAAGATCAGTCACTGTTTATTGAAAACCCGACAACAGGTCATATGCATGTCCTCACTACAGATGTGACTCCCCACCCTACCTGTGTAAAGGTGTGGTTCTGCCCCTCCGTCGGGCTGTGGCTGGTGGTGCCTCCCCCTTGCAAAAATCGACAAGTCTCGTTGACAAGCCATTGGCTCCTTCTACATAAAAGTTGATGAGTGCATCGAGTCCCTGAAAAAGGGGGCCATTGTCTACCTGTATGGTATAGGAAAACACAAACCCCATCAACAAAGTCAAATGGCATTGAGAAACTTTTTCAAAGGCCTTTATAATTTTAAACAAATAACTTAGTACCAATATTTCAAACTGCTCAGTTTTTGAAGAGATGTTATTCTATCCCTTAGTTTTTGATCCACGCAAACCTGACAATCTGCTCACAGCAGACTCAATGCGCCAAGGGCCTACCATTAGACAAAAAAAAGACTGGAGAAAGACTAATAACCTTGATTGAAGCTGGGGCACTTGCGACATTTTTGTGACCTAGGTTGTGCCAAAACTGCGGAGGGGGGTATGTCATACCCCCACCCCCAGGGTGCCCCTCCCCTTCTTTTTTTTTACATGTCCATGTACCCTGTAAATTTTCTTATACACGCCACAGTTCATTTTGCTCAACACACTCTGGAAAAACCTCGTGCACCCCTTCGGGACCCCTTCCCCCAAAATTGACCCTAGTTATGCCAAACAACCTACATGTGAGGCTTGAATAAAAGCAAACTTTGACCCAAAAAATCTCAGAAGTTACAGTAGCACTAATTCCAAATTCTGAGAGAGGGGCAGCAGAAGACAAAATTTAATTGTTTAAAAGGGAATTCCACATACATCACTAATTCCCCCTTGCAGTGGTTTACTAGCCATCAAAAGTGATAACATGTCCCAAAAAGTCAAATTTAGCTAGGAAAATATCAAAGTATTTACTTAGAAAACACTCCAAATTTTTTCAGGCCTGTCCCATACATTTGTGCACAGGGCATCAAGTGATGTCTATGTATGGAACTCTTTCTTTCTTAATTTTTTCCCGTTTCTAGGCCTAAACACCAACTACACAGACAGCATTTCCTTAGACAGTTAAGTTTTTTCCCAAATTGAGCAAATATGTCTTCAGTGAATATGATGAGTCCACAAGGTGAGATATATTTATGTTTGGTGGCAAATATGCAGCAAACTGACTGCAGGCCCTACACTTTGATAGGCCTACATCGGCACACTCAAGACAAACGACAGAGGAACAGAGGACAACAGTACACTAAAATGACAAAAATATAGCAAAGCCTGCAGCAAATGCCAGGAAATGAAAAAGTTTACTCAATACGGAACCTTTGCCAAGAATTGTCCAGGCTTCACTTACCTGGTAGTAGAAATCCCCCAGGCAGTGTATCTGAAAGTGCTGGGGCTGTCCGTCGTGAACAAGCGACACGACAAAGTCACCGGGCGAACTGGTGCTTTCCCGGACCAAAAACAGCCCCTCCGTGTTGCCGTTCTCCTGGAGGATGTGCACGGCCGTGTCACGCGTGATCTTGCCGTGGAACCACAACAGGCCCTTCTCCTGCTCCCGGGCGTTTGCCTTGTCCTTGATCAGGAACTCCTCCAGGGGTATTGTCTTAAGGATCTCGTCCAAGGGGGTAAGTTTCTGGCGTACGGAGTCGCAACCGACTTCCGGGTACGTACCATACTCGTCCTCGGGCAACGAGATCGTGTAGTCCAGAGACGGCCCGCCGCTGTTGCCTTCCCGACCGCGTGAAGCAGACATCGTGTACCGAATTTCTGCGGAAGAACCTGAGCTCCACAATATCCCAAGTCACTCAGTCGACCCTCGGACGTGTTTTTATTTCTTCTGGCATGCTAAAACTTCCCTTTTAGGGGACTGAAACGAAATAAGGAACGCGCAGGCCTACGCATACTCGAGCGACCACATTTAATTTCCGTGTACTTCGGTCAGAGCTTACTGAAAGAGAAGTCAGAGGTCATTTGAAAGTGCGCCCTCATTTTTGTTAATCAGCTCAATGGGAACCGAAATTCGTAAAAAAAAAAAACCTCTTACTAGTTTCTTAGCAGCACCCACACACTCACACACACTCAAAAAAACGTGCCAAGCTGAACTGAGCGCCCCTTTTGCCATGAATTGAAGAGTTAGCACTCTTCAAAAATTCAGTAAACGGCCAATAACACTTTCTATTTTTTTTCAAGTTTAAATTATAGCATCACACATTCTAGAAAACCACGTTAGTGCCTACGTGTTTAGATTATATCTTTAAAAAAAAACAGCTGATCATCTTTTTCGGCTCTTCGTATTGCCCTGAAACTCAGTAAATTTTCCTGCATGAAGAGACGCCAGTTCGTGAGCAGTGTCGACAGAGGGAGCTATTGATAAAATCTGCAATGATAGCGCAGTTTGTTGTGACGTTATGAAACTCATTACCATTATTTCCCAGTTCCTCGGCCGTTCGTTACTTTCTTCCACTTTTAATTTCACAGTTAGCTACCGATCAAGTATAATAAAATCCAGGAATTGTGCTGAGTCTGCAGCTAATGATTGCCAAGGGGACACAAGGGTTCGGCCAGGGAGTGCAGAAGAAAGGAGGAAAAAGGAGGAACGTGAAAGTTCTTGAGCAAGACAACCCCAAGCCGCTTCGTCCGTTAGGTACACGACCCTTTTGAAAAAACAAACAAACATTCCTCACCTACCCATCACACCTTCATTGTAAAATTCTGATTTCCATCGTCACTTTTAATTTGTTCCGAGACTGGCACCTCCAGCCAAAACTGTTGAAGTAGTTGAAATTCCTAAAAGGATTAGTTCCTCTGTCTGGAACGATTAATAAAGCTCGCTCTTTTCACAGTCGAGTGATTTCAATAACTTTACAAAAATGATAACATTTATAACTGGTTAAAATCTATTTAATTACCATACGCATTTCCATATTAAAACAATGAATGCATTACAAATTAAAACTCATCCGATACAAGATAATTCTGAATCAGGCAATAAAAATATACATTTATGATTACAAAATTGAATCGTGGTTTTAAAAGGTGAAGGAGGCAACTGAATGAAAGACTGTTTCTAGGAGTAAAACTTTGGAAGAACGCGATTGCAGGCTGCTTTTTATGGATATTCATTTCACGTATACGTCATGGTTTTAATTATAAATCTGAAAATTCAATCCGGTTCGTAATTGTGACATCGCTTCAGTTTAAACCATGCCCACTGCACACGTGCACTGTACTGCATGCATTGATCGCCGTATATGGAACCATGGAACCGGAAGTAAACGCGCAACTTCAGCGATTGTCCAATGAGAGCGTGCAAATCTTGGCGCGTCCGCCTTTGTGACGAAGTCACTTACGAACCGGATAATTATCTCAATGGTCTCTTTCTGAAACTTGATATCACAATACACCTTGCCACGATGTGCATAAATAAGATCTATTGTTAGTTTCACAAGTGGTTAATAGACTATTCACATTAATATTGAGGATATTTTTTGCTTCTACTTCTACGCATGTAGCTCTATACGGGCTATTCACAACAGTGCGCCTGTAGCTGTAAGAGTTTGAAACGCGTTGGCCAATCACGAGGTGCAAAATCTGTCGCGTTTTGAAAGGGTGGACAGATTTCACGCGTTGTGATTGGCCAATTACGCGTTGCAAACTCTTGCAGGCGCACTATTGTGAATCGCCCGTATTGATGTTGGTGAATATCACATTTACTCAAGTAATAGTAACTGAACAATTGTCTTTGCTCAATGAAACGTATTCACGGCTTAGATGTTCAGTCATAAAATGTTCCACTCCTTTTCGCTCACCAGGTAAAAAAACATCTGCAACTTGAATATTTGTCCTCGGAGTTTTTGTGTTTTTGACCCGGCCTAGGTGCTGGTTTCAAGTTGGATGGCTTGCTCGTACACGTGCGGGCCTTCCGGCTCCGGGGTGCAAGGCTTCTTTTCTCCGTGCACCTCCACCTCAACGTCCGCGCTGTCGCTCACCGGCTGCTCGTACACGTAGGCGGCTGGCCCGTTCGCTGGGTACGGAGGCGGGGCAGAGCTGACCGGCACCGCCGAGTTCTGCGCCACCGCGGCGTCCTCGCCTTGCTCGGCCGCTCCTTGATCCTGGGCGGCGTTGTTCGCCGCCGGCGCCGCCGACGCTGCTTCGGGTTTCCTGGGGGGTAGCGACAGCGTTCCGAAGTGCTGCTTGTAGATGGCAAAAATCATGAGGAGGACTATAACAGCGCATAGGACGCCGGTGCCGATCCACAACCCAACTAGGTCGACCATGGTGGGATGTGCGGTATGCAAGAAAACTGCTCGGTCACAAATCAGTGTTGCCTCAGATTAATGGGATCACTGAACTGATTTCCGCTGCTCCTGTGTATCAATAAAGGACAATTTCGACGACCAATTAAAACTGTAATAACAAACTCTTGTAATTTCTAGGCAAGCTGTGGATGTTGGATGAAGTTGTGGACTGGAACCATCAACGAGGTCTAATCCCCCCAGCAGACTTTGGAGTTTTGGATTTTAGTGTTTCTTGCGGATTTTGGTTTCTATAACGTGGAATGGATGCACGATCAAGCCGCCAGTTGCTTGTTGCCCACAGATCAGAAAGATAGGTCTGGAATTTGGAGACGTTTTCATTTTTGTATGAAAATTTTTCAGAAAAATGGTCATGGCTCCCTATAAAATCTACAACGGGAAATTGAACGCGTTCTGACTTCTGTCTCAATTTTGAAAGCTTCACGGGAAGCGTAGGACACCTTCAAACTAGTGTTCTAAAAGCGGTCTCTGAATATACCCTCGACTCGACTATATACACTCTAGACTATTTTTACCTGACACCCCCCATGTCCGAAAAGAATTCCTCAGGTTCCAGTGAAACAATGACCAACACAAAGCGGGGGGGGGGTTCTCTCCGTGTCAGTTGCTTCATAATATTCAAATGCTCCACGCAATAAGCAAACCTGAAATGGCATTTGTGAGGAGTTCTGGCCAAATAAAAAACACTTAATAATGGTACAGTCTGTAATGGGGGAAAATGCAGGTACCTAACTGCAAACTGAATTCTTCTGTTTTTAATTACAAACAGTGCCCACTGTATTGCACAAACTGCATGCAAACACAGAAAGTGCATCCTTGGCCGGTAACGGCTTTTTGTATTTGAAGTCGAAGTGCACATTAATTTTGCCCCGTTCCAGGGAAGTTACATTACTTGAGAATTACAATAGCTGCGGAAGATTTTTCTCAACACTGAGAATTTAAACTGATGTTGGAGCTAAACCTTTGCAGCCACTGATAAGCAAAACTGCTACGGTGACACAGCGAAGAACTGGACTAGAAATTAAAGAGCACAATAGATTAAAATTAAAGACAGTAGATCGATAGTGTAACACCATGGAACAGAAGTGTTTTCAAGGAAAACCAACTGGCATCTTTCCCGATTTTTACGATAGCAAATCTCGGGACTGTAAAGGCCTTTTTCAAAGTATTTCTACTGTTAAAAACATGTCGATAAATGAGAACTATATGACGTTGTAATTGTCGAAGAGAGCCTCAACGTGGAGGTATACTTGGCCGTCAGGATACGAACCGAGAGTCCTTTAATTTCAGCACATTCCCGTCACAGTGTGCTTAATTCAACTTGCCTTCGCCTTAGTCTGAGTCTGAGAGTAAACCGAGTGTCAGGTTTTAAACATTTAAAAAGTATAAGCTCGCAACTAATTACCTTAACGGCGATTCATGGTTGGGTCCAGACTGGCCAAAATAACGTTCTTCACCAGTGGATTTCACTAGATATATGACCCAACACATGCACAGTGAGTTGTAAGCCAGGAAAAGCAGAGCGAAACCGTTACCACGACCCTTATGAAGTACTTAGCAAACACAACGGCCCACTTTGTAGGGCCCTCGCCTTGTCTGTACCAAAGGTGTAGAACCCTGACAATGTACGTCACAGGTAACCCTTCGACCACATCGGAAAAAACTAACACAACACGCTAGGCCTACGCCAATTCAACGCAAACAAAACACTTATGCACGCTCCGCCGAGTAGAATAAATAACGCGTGATGATCTTTTTCTTATTCAAATCACACACGCACACCTGTTGGGCAAAATACAAGGACACGCCGCCCATACGTTAGCAACAGAGGGCGCTATATTTCATTCACATTAACTGCCTTTCGGGTTCAGTCCTCAACAAAGTGATCATTTTGACCTTGCAGGCACCGAAGAAACCAGAAGTGTCTGTTTTCATCGGCCATCCATAGAATCATTTTTATCAGTTTATAGCCTCTTTCTCTGCATTAATTATTCCATTCGTGACCTCTAAAAGTAACATTAGAACTGCATTCAAAACAAAGCACAACACGAAACTGAAATTTTTATTAACACTAAAAGAGCCAGGGGCGGAATCCCCTCCCCCCCGACATTTTTGTCTGATATTGCTGCTGTGAAATTTTTGAGGAGCTGAGCCTTGAGGAAGTTTTAGAGTAACTCTTTGCGGTCATACCCCGCTGTGCGCGTGCGCATTTTCTGGGCAGACAAAAAGGCATCCTTTACCGTACCACAGCTGTGCTCAACGCAAGCGGGCACGCACGCAGCCTTGAATTTCACATGACCGTAATAACAAAACCATGTCTGATTGAGTTCAAACTTCACATTTGTAATGATAAGGAATGTGTTAACATAAATGCAACATTCAAAAAAATCGAAGGCAAAATAAACCGGCTCTTTTAGAGTTAACTGTTGCATATTTGCAGATAGCACTGCAGGAAATGCGAGCGTGCAATGTCGCGGTATCATGATCAAAGTACTCATTCCAAGAAGATCTATCGATCGGCTTATAATCATTATTGGGGGGGGGGCTTCTTGCGATTCCATACCGTTTTGAGCGTAGGCCTTAGAGAATCCAACGTAGGGCTGGGTGCGTGATTTGTTCTTGTATTGCATGCTTGTTTTTATACAGTGTGTGTTTGCAACTCGTTGACCAATCACAATGCGCGAAATCTGTCGACTCTTTCCAAACGCGCATTGGGTCGACAAATTTCACGCATTGTGATTGGTCAACGCATTGCAAACCCTTGTATGTAGTTGCACTATTGTGAATCGCCCGTATGAAGGGGTACGTTTTGAAGACGTAGCAACCTTTATTTTTGGATCATAAGTCTTGGTTTTGTGCTTGTGGCTCTCACATAACCTGAAAATTCTCTCATAACAATGTTTACACTGTGGGTCACATTCATTTCATTTCGGTGTCAGGTTAGCACATGCACGAATGTCATGCCTGTCACCATAGTACTGTGATCATACGATGTCTGTACTGTGTTGGTACTGAAGATATCGTAAATTGATTCAACTGTGGCATCGAAAAGCACTACTATTTTTAGTGAGCTTAAAAAAAACCTGACGCTGCCACATCAGTCACCTTATACCTTATCTGATAACGTGGCACATCACTGTTGTCGATCGTCGATCGAATCAGGAAGAGGTCGAGATCAGAATTAGAAACATTTTCGGACTTAAAGAGCAGTCTGACTAAGTCAAGACCAAAAGCAGCAACCTACGGTAGTTCCAGCAACCTTCAAGTTCCAGCTACAATAATGATTAAAGTAGGTTGGTGAAGCACGCATGGGAGTACTTTTTTAAAAGCAGTATGCACTTTCTGCCTTTCAAAAGTCATGCTTTCGTTATCATGGACGTTGTCCGCTATGAATCTTTTGCGTACCGCGCACTGGGTAACGCGGGACAGAATGCCAGAATTTTGCAGTGGGGATTTTGAGGGTCACGTATGCAGAATTGCAAAATTGGACTAAGCTGCAACAGAAGTCCACTATTTCTGGTATAAGTCATGTTTTAAAACCATACCTACCATGGATGTCCCATAACTTGGCGTTAGGTTCCACATGACAAAAAACTTTAAAATGTTAAAGGGTTCGTTACCTTCGGTCGGGGTCACGGTTGAGAACTGTATGGGTGAAGCTTGTTCGCACGACGACGCCGGACGAGGAAGTAATCGCCTTGGCAGCTGCAAATTTACTCTGCCAACTTGAATGTGAACTTGTAATCGTTTTTTTTCTGTGGTGGGGCAATGAACCACCACGGCAATGACGTCTGCGGAAATTGTTCATTGTAATTGAGACCTTAAACTTCGAGACCGAGACCACGGGGCCCGGAGTGGAACATGAGACCTCGTGGGGGAGACGGATACCAAGGCAACAGACTAATTAGCATAAAATATTAAACAATAAAACATCAGAAAACAATATAGAGAATACATGTAGTTCCTTTTTTTTTCTTTACCTCCTATAAACTATAACGCTGACACAGTGTGTTGTCATCAAAGAATGTTTAAAGTTACAACTATTCAGTGTCATTCTTCCGGGAAAAGCCACAGAGAAAGAAATTGCATTTTCGAGACGTTTGCTCTCTCGGCCCGGACAAAGACCAAGACGAAAATTCCAGACCTTGAAATCTCGATCCTTGACCTCGAAAATATCGATACCGTGACAAGCCTCGATACCGAGACTGGCCTTGAGACCTAGATCGATTTTGAATCGTTGTATCGTTGGACGGAGTCAGTGCTCTCACAGTGAACTTTGATGACGTCATATGGAGAAAAAAATTGACCTGGTCATCCAATTTTGGGGTTGCCGCTTCAGATAGAATGAAGCAATCAACAGAGGGCGCTTCACGATCCTCCTCTCACGCAAACCTAATTGGGTCCAAAACGCCTTTCGCGGTGCTGCTCTCCGATATGCCTGCTGTGTGTTTGAAGTGTGACAACGCCCTCTTTTTAAGTATCAGCCGCGCTAAAGCGATAGCGATTCGTCTAGTGATGGTCTGTGTCGCTGATAGTGATTTGTTGTATCGTGGTTTGTGTCACTGAATAAACTTCAGGAGGGTCTTGGAACCAAGACTATCGCGAGCCCTGTTCACCGCCGCTACATGGCACTCTTCGCCGCTGAGTTATTCTGACGTTATACTCAACTCCGCTGTTGGATATCAGAATAAATAAATGAAAACTGTCAGGCAGTCTCTAAACTCGTGGCGAAGCTTTTGTTGTGCATGACCAAGATTTCCATTTTCTCTTCTCTGGTCCAAGTCAATTCTCTTTCTTGGGTCAGCAGAGCGTAACTACGGTTGCATTGTTCGCTACGACGGGGGAAAATAGGAGTTCGTTCTTTGTGTAAAAAAAAGGTAACCAAATCAATGGAATGCAAATACCGTAAAGGACACTTGAAAAGAACGGCTATTTTATGCATGAAAAGTCAAAGCATCTTTACGCGAATGCTTTTTCACCACGTCCAGTAAAGAGTTCTCAGAAATTTACAATAACAGTTTTTTCTTCTCATTCTTAAGTTTAAGCCCTTTTGTTTCGGTGCTCTTATTTCTTGGTATTTTCGTGTTTATGCATTTTATTTATTGTAGTTTTTGGGGCTAAATAATTTTTTTCCAACGTAATTAAAAGATAAAGTAGAGTAAGCTAGATTTATACCAATATTCCGTTTAAATCCGGCTCGCCAGGCATGCATAAAATTAACTCTAGACAGGCATTTTGTTCCCTTGGCCTCTTGGGGGAAAACTCAAACCGAGTCTCCGCTCAAATGACTTCAAAAGGTCTTTAGCTGTCTGACATCTTGTTTGAAATCAGTGGGACAGGACGAAGTCCAAGAGGCCGTGTTGTGGGTTACTTCAAAAACCCCTCCTTTCTTTAAATCCTGACAAAAAGTACCAGATGTTTTAACTTAAACTGTTGCATGATACCACAAATGTTCTTGCTTAATATCATGCTGTAGAGTCGGTAGAGATGTCATCATTTTTGCTGCCGAAATATTGTTGTGATTAAACACAGCAACGCCAAGGCAACGGGGGTTCTTTCAAAATTAGTCACACCTAATCCAATGTTTCCTCTCCACTCGGCTCCTGCAATGAAGGGCGAGACATGTGTAAACAATTATTTTACTGAAACTTGATCAGTTAGCGCCCCGCCGTGACATCCAAGTTCACTTTTTTTGACAAGTCATAGATTAACTCGGCAATGATTTCTATATTTAATGCAGTCCTGTCGTCAAACTGCTGTTCAAGTTCGCGTCACGGTGTGCCGCGACCCCCCGCGGATGAAAACCCGCGTGCCCCACACCCCTGGGAGCACGTGAGTCACTTCACAAAACAGCCGTAAATAGTTATGACGTGTCTATCCGTTTGTGCGCACATACGCAGCGCGGGCGCAGAGTAGTGTCAGGTTTTGTGTCCCATTCATAATTTTGTTTGCACGGCTCACATCACCAACATGTGAGCTGCCTACCGTATGGACTTCGCCCCGTGTGTGTTGTAATAGCAGAGGGGCACCGTCATGGGAAGAGTGAAACCGCACAGCACATGAGTCACGCTGCTAAATACACACTTCTCTCCCTGCCAGGACTTCACTTCCGAACCTTCAACTCGTAGTTTAAAAGGCCGGCCGGGCCCGTGATCGTGAATTCATTTTCTTCACTGTCAAACCACGACGTGAAATTGATTTACATTCGATCAATATTTGCTGCCTTGGTCAAAGTGAGTGTTTGGAACTCTGTTTACAAGCCATCATTCCAACAGATGCCTACGCAGGCCGTTCCTGCTATCAGATTCACCATGTCTGATAACGGTGCCGCCACCACACCCCTGCCCCTGCCACCGCCGATGGTGACCCTCTCCACGGAGCCCGAGAGTCGCTCCCCAACTCACCCCAAGACCAAGAAGAACCTGCTGTCCACCCTGAAGAACTCCCCGTCCATGTTGAGGCGGCGGATGAAGCCACCTCTTCTCAACCACAACAACCGGAACTCTTGGGACACCACGGACTCGGCTTCGTCGGCGTCCTCCGCTTCGTCGTCGTCGTTCACCGCCAAAGAGTTCCACGTGAAATACCAGGGCCGGGTGCGGGTGACTACGCTGCAGGTGAGCGAGGCGGTCAACGCAGTCAAGAAGCTCGCCCCGGAGTTGACAGCGTCCTCCTCGGCGTCCTCCTCGACCGAGGATCTCCTGAATGTCTCGCCCGCCTCGTCCTTGACCTCTCTGTCGTCGCCGACCACGCTTCCCCGTGCCCCGTCGCCGACCAGCCCCAAATCCCCGCGACCGGCGAAATCTCCCAAGTCGCTCAACAAGTCGTGCTGCCTCAGCATCTCCAAGCAGTGCGTCTGCATCGACGACGAGGAGCGACTGGTCAACGAGACCATCCCCATAGCCACGGTGGCCTACTGCGCCACGGACCTGCGCTACCCCAGGGCGGTGGCTCTCATCTGCAAGACCCACAACAGCGTCCTAATGTGCCACGTCTTCGTCTGCACCTCCCGGGAGAAGTCCGAGAAGATCGTGGCCTTCATCGGCAAGGCCTTCGAGTCGGCCTGGCAAGACTGGAAGACAGTCCACGACCCGGCCACTCTCGGTACCAACAACAACTACGAATGTTTCATCAGGGGCAGGTCGCGGTCCCACGACATGAGCCGAACGGGACGCACCGATAGCCCCAGTGATACCACGCCGGACAGACACTCGTCTTACGAGATTAGGAACGATGAGTTCTCCTCCAGCCCTGATGATGATTAGTACGTCATGAACTACATAAAAAACTTCCTTAAGAAACGGTGGTAAGTCGTAAATAATTCAAAATAGCACAGCCATATACTGGTCTATGAGCAAAATACTAAAGCCTGCCTCACCCCGTCTCCCATACAATCTTTGAAAACCGAATGTTTTCCTGCGACGGTTAAGAAATGTATGACTTCAAAATCTGAACAAATGAGGCCATTGATACTCGCTGAAATAACACTACGTTCTGTCCAAACAGCATTGTTAATGTTACGCAGACACATTCCATCGTCATACTGTCGACAAGTTTATTTATTTTTTAAAAACTTCATAGCCTTGATAGCCATGGCCTCTTCATCTAGAGAGATTCTCATTAATTTGTTTATTTGTTATACATCTATCTATTCATTCAACGGCATATCTGTCCATTTATCCTCATTTATTTGTTCATCCCTCATTTATTTGCTTGTTATATCCGTTCATCCAGCAGCGCACTCAAGCCAATTAGAGGATGGATTGACAATTAAGAAGACAATGAAGAAATGTTCAGTTTTTAAGGTGGGAGGAAAACCCAGGCTACATTTTTTCCAGGGAAAACCCACGGCATCAGAACCCACGGGATCAGGCAGGGACGGAAAACCCAATCCACATGTTGACCTGGGAGGGATTCGAACCCGCAGAGATGGAGGGCAAGGAAAGACCTGACTCCCAGTTTGCGAACTGGGAAAGTTTCACGTGCAACATCACAGGCCCAATAGCCGGTGATGTCAGGCGCGCACCAAACTCAGCTTCGCCGGGTGAACATGTTCAAAGGTCAGACTTCAGTTTCAGGGCGGAAACCGTGCACGCGTTTTATCGCGCCGATCTACATGTACACGACCAACACGCGTAAGATTGGATGCCAAGCCTGATCTTGTTAAACGAGACGCTAACTTAATTTAGAGCCCAGGGAACGGCTTTGTTAGCTCGAATTTCGTCTTTCGGGAACCATAGCAACAGACGGGTGAAACCCACGTGTCTGTACCTTTCTAAGTCTGACTTCATGAAGCATCTGAAAAATTAAATTTCATCTTCGATTTTTCATGGGATTTACATTTAACGACGGCAGATGGGAAAGACGCAAGTCGTGATTAATTCAAAAAAGAAAGGTGATACCAGTGTGTGTCTGACGCAAGCAGCTTTGATGTCACTGTGCTGGTTGTAATCAAAGAAATTTTTTGTTTGCCGAGTTTAATGAATAAAGGATATCACCCACGTCACAGGAAGTCGTCACCAAATGCAATGTTTGCCACCAGTCAACTTCTTGTGCTGTTGTGGTGCAACTTTAAAAGCCCGAAAAATACCTGTGAGATACAATCTCAGTGGATTTGTTCCACTTGGAGCGCATATGGACAATATGCAAACGCATAACAAAAGAGGATTTGACATCTGTGACCAACTGTTATTCCATTACACGGTTGAGAAAATACTTTGCAATAATTCGGGTCCATTTTCTTTTTCCAATCGTCTTTATTTATCCAAAGTGATCAGTGCTATGTTGGGACACAAAAATGCATCGGCCATCAGCATAGTATCCCCTGGTTTTGTGCTGATTAGGGCTTAAATCAGATGCATTTTTGTCCGGATTCAAGTAGTAGGTATTCTAAACATGAAACAGCCGTTTAAAATCACCCTCTTTGAAAAATTCAAAAGGACAAGACAGGAACGAGTTATACCACACTGGACGTCCAACAGATACAAAAGACCTCCTCTTGTTGCCAAAATTGAATCAAATAAAATACACAATGTACTGTACAATCAATCCGGTTTAAAGTAGCAATTTTCTTTCTCGACGCGAAATCCCATGAGCATTGATCCTTGGGAAAAAAAGTAACACCGATGTTGCGCACGTGACGGTGAAGTGCTCTGGCCCTGCGCTGAAGTGTCTACGATAAACGAGTTGGGTGTTTACGTTATGTCTCTGGGAATTGTATATATTATTTTTTTTTCTTCATCTCTGGAGTACATCCGTCTGTTCAAGACGACGTGCTCCTCTGAAAAGTGCAATTGACCGTGATATTTTCTGCATCAGAGAGACTTCCCCCACCCCCCCTCTTCTTTGGGGTTTGTTGCGTCAGTGGAATGTCGCAGGTATGGGGGATCATTTGAGGTCATTATATTCATTGGAATTCGGTAAATAAATTGGATGAGATGGATCACCAAGTTGCAAATTAAGAACACAAGGCTGGCCTACATAACCGCGTTGTGTGTAGGCCTGCCACGATTCGTAACGACAAAACCAGGAATTTGCTTTGAATTTTGCAAACAAATTGAAACGTTGTAACTACCGGGTCTATATAAAGTACAACTAAAAAGATCTTCGTGGCGCTTCAACAGATCTGTAGATGGAATGTCGAAAACTACATCATGCAAAAAGTCAGAAATACCATAATTTTTATATGCACGTAAATAACAATGCTATAAAAAGTGGCTTTATACTCAAGTCCCTTGCTTTCAGTTTGCATATACATTATCATAACGAGACTTGTACATGTATATGTCGGCGCCTCCGTGTTATGTAAACGATGGTTTGTGATGGTACACTCTACATGCACTTAATTTCTTGGGTACATACGATGTAATTATATGTATTCGGGGGGGGAAAAACAATACCCGCACATGTTCGTAATATATAGCCCAAGTCACCACTATTGGAAATTGGCCCCAATTTTGGTACGTATCCCGCGATGCGAAGCCAGTCTTGCATAGATATAAGGAGAATTGGCTACACACTCAGTTATAAGCTACAGCAAACATCCACGCGAATGAAAGAGTTAAGATAAAACTGGAAGCGTTCTTGACTTGGTGATGATGGAATGTTTTATATTTTGGCTTCAGCAGCGGATTGTCAGTAGTATTTTGATGGGACACTGTTCAGGACTGCATGGAGGAATATTTCTGGATATTATGCACTAAACGTTTTATTGGGTGTAGGGGTGGACGATCTCGTTTTCTTTCTTGTTTTTTGTTTTTTTTTTCTTTTTTTTCCACAGCACCTGATCTACAGAATCGGGTATTTGCAGCGCTTTTTAAAGCATGTTTGAAGTGTAGACCGAAAGTCTGAGGTACTATTTGCTCGCGATGTAAAAAACAAGTCCAACAAAAACACATTGAAAATTCGCATCCGCTACATAATGTTCTCTACAGGAACCTGGGACATCAATTTTACATTGTCGCCGCAGTTCATGAGGACAAATGTATATAGCCACAAAAATTACTTTACTATTCCAGCGTTTAGTTTGCGAGTAGCTGGCTAAATTTAAGTTAGACAAACAAACTGATGCCTTTCGAAAGTTTCGTGTACGAAGAAACGTGTACCTTTCGGTTGCGTTTACTGCTGTTGGCTAAACCCGATATGCCTGTATGTTCATGGAGCGCCCGATTTCATTATGTTGTATGGATGTGGCTGAGGCATATTAAGTTTAATCTGATAACAAAAACAAGATATGACTTTTTTAAATCCGATAATCCGAATTTCAATTGAAGCCAGATTATGTTACACGTCACTGTATAATCTTGTTGCATTCCTTTGCACGTACATGAAACTCGAGGCTGAGTGTCGCGTGATTTGTAAAAATCTAGGGGCAGCAACTCTTCAGCATAAAGAAGACTTGTTATATACCGTTTCGTCGAGTTACTCTCCCGTCATCTTGAAATGCAGTCTTTCCTTTGTCATACCTGCATAGAACAAAGACCACGGATTGGTACGGTCAGACGTTTGTCGAATCTCACTCGTTTCAGGGGGCATGCCGTCGAGTAATTTTGTAGGAGGAATTCCGGTGATTTATAACGCAAGGTGTTCTGTCTGTTCAAATTCTGGTGGAGTTTGGATGACTTTAGGGGAAGGCTCAGTGTCAATTTGCGCCACCTATGATCACAGATGTAGTTTTTCTGAGTGCTTAAATATACCAGGTACACCTGCAATTTCGAAATTCACCTTGTTATTGCTCGTAGAGTTGGTGTACATTTATTGAACTGAACGCTGCTTTCGTTTTCATTGTCAATTCGCTGCATCTTGTATAAATAGCTGAAACATCCCTACACGTCAATCCGCATAGCCGTAGTGTAACTATATGTACTGTGTTTTCGTATGCCTTTTTGTTTCGTTAACTGTGTTCGGTCACCGTGTATAAATAACAAACCTTTATCCTTCAACCCGAGAGTCCTTTTTCAGGTTTGTATCGCAACCCGGAAAAAGCAAATAAAACACTTTTCAAAAGCGGGTGCGCAGTGAGTCGCGTCGAACACCCACCACTGGCGCATACGGGGTAAAGCCACTGTGAAGATCCTTTCCCTGTTCGCTGCAAAGGTTTAAATTGTCATTTCCCCCTGTTGCTTCCCTCATTTTATGATAAGAAACTGAGCACATCGATAGGGGTGTTATTTACTAAAGGCCCTGACTGTTAAATGGAATTCTTCAAACTGTCGAGCATCTCGTGCTCAATGTATGAAACAAGACATTCAAATTTACAACCTCTATCCTAATTTATATTTACAGTCAGCCCAATCCAACAGAGTGAGTTATCAACATTTTCTTCAGCCTTACCCAAAGAACTACAGTGTGTCGATGACACAGTCTGATTTGAAGATCATCGATTTAAAATTATTTCGAACAGTATGGCGTGCCAAATTGACATCCATTAATGATAGAGATATCTCTATTTACAATATTAAATGTCAACTTTGCACGTCTAGAGAATAACTTCTGTTGCGGGATTGAATGTCAAGTTTGCACGCCATAGTACAGAAATAAAATCTTCTTACGTCTATCCAGAAAAGCTTCATATAATTGCCTATACAACTGTTACGTACGACAGTCACAACCATTCAGTTTGCACCAATTAGGTTTCGGTTCTACTATAAAACACACGCGGGAACGGGGCACGAGATGTTGACCCCGTAAATAATTTACAGGCGCGTCGCCAGTTCAGAGTTTGTTTCCTTGAAAGCAAATTGAAAGAAAATGCTCGAAAGTCATTCGCTCACAACGCCAGCCAACACAGCTTTCGACCAAGTTCATTCTAAAAGCGATGCGTCAACGTCTTATATTTCCCCTCCGTACCTTGGACGCAGGAAAAGAGTTGCGAGGGACTCAAAATGCCACTGTGATAAAAAAAAAGTCGATTCATTTGAGCGAGAAGACTCTTTCGGGCAGTGTGTTTGTGTGCAAAACGATAACACAATGATACACGCACAACTTCTACCTGAGCAACCCTCGAACACAGTAATTACTTGCAGTTCGATAACCTGCCTAAATGTTCGATGAGTTGAATCAAATTCTGTCCATTGCTTTTTTACCCACCCATACCATTTTGCTATTCTCCCGTGGGCACTGTGTGTGCGTCGTCAACCCCCATGACAGTTGAGTGTAGTTGAAAAGAACACGTAGGCTCACAAAATGCACGTAGACCTTCATATTTTCCAGGCGCTTGCTTTTCAGTACGGTTCGCCTGGAAAAGTTTGTTCCCCCCCCCGTAAAATTGATGAAGAACTTCGCCATAAAAGCCCGCCATTTTTTTCCTCGTCAGTAAACGACCAACGATGTGCATGTTGTCAAGGTCGACAGAAAATGATGTAAGCTCCGCAGCTAAAAGGATATGATTGACTATGTCTGTAACTGAGGCTTGTCGAGCTGTCTCGTGATGCACTTGGAATAGACTTGTGTTACACGAGTCTATTCCAAGTGGCAGCCGTTGGACAGTGGCTTCGATGTGTGGCTAGCTTTAATTGCATTCTCAACCGAGCGTTAATTCAAGCTTGCCAGCAACAAACGACAAAAGGGTCTGCTCTTTTGACGTCATGGTCGTGTTTTTCCTACAAATGGTTGCTAAAAGTATGGTTGGCCGTCGGTACAAAAGTAAAGCAATAATTCACAAAGTGTCGACAATCCCGCGCAGCTTTGGGAACACCAGATAATATACTACAAGATACTAAATGAAAATACAACCCAATTTAAAATTAATGGGACAATTGTCCCTTTTGGACGAAATAGAGGTAAAATCGAAAACCAACCAAAAGGTGATATTTCTGCAAATTTTGGCCGCCCATACAAGTTGTTTGCAAAATGAGAGTGGTGACACATCCGTTCAATCGAGAAAATGGAACATTCTCCTTTTATTGTGTCAACTGTTTTTGACATTTGGGCGTTAGTTCTTAAATCCAAACACGAGCTGAACTTAAAAATTTATAATCATTAATAGTTTTTTGATCAATTTTTTTGTAATGCAGTGCATATAAATGTTGTCGCCGTTGTTTTATTTCGTTTTTGCTAGGTAGCAGATGAAACAGACAGTGTACGACTTTATGTTTGTATGAAAAATGTGGACACCATCTTAGTCCGGTTTTGAATCAAAATGTAATTGAAATTGTGCATCGGTGAAAAATTGCTAACTGCGTGCCGGTGGGCATAGATTGAGAGTGAATCATCAGAAGGCAAATTTTAAACTTTGATCGCCGTCAGACATTTAACCTTCACTAGCCAACCGGCCTACGGGAAAAGGTCAACAGCACACTTTATCATGCAATCAATATTTGCATCAATATTGCGCAGATTTCTGTTTCATTGATTTGTTACATACGATGCGGGACGGCTCACCGCGGATGAACATTGATGGCCGCTCAAGACATCGTGGGATAATTTAATCATGCAATATAGGCACATCAGACAGGAATGGCTGAAGTGTAGTTTCACTGAAGGAAGTTTTTTTCCCAATGATGGAGTTGTTTTTGTTTTATTTTTTGTTCATTTTAAAAGAGTGTTTGCAATGGGAGATTGTTGAAAAGCTGTTCTTTTCTATTGTTCATGTGCGCATTTTCAAGATTATGCAAATTGACCGGTGTGTTTGCCGCCATCAAGTGTCTTTAAAGACTTTCACTGCATGTCATATCGTTTTATAATTTGCTGTAAGAGAGTTTGGGAATTTGAAATTAAAAACATTTACTTACTGCAGTCATGTGATCACATCATCTACAATCAGAAAACAAATTTTCAATATTTGCGTAAAACTCGGCTTAATTACACTTTGAAGTACAAAGTATTAAATTTAGCTCAAACTTTTAAAAAAGTGAATCATAAAAACAGGCACAAACAAGATCGTAAAATATTGAACATAGAAACAGCCCCAGAGTAATGCATTTACCCTTTCAGAACTATTCCATTTATGATATCGATTATGATCATGACGGCTTCGGATTAAAAATATATTTTTGAGCATACGAATCCTATAAACGAAAACATTCCTGGAGTTATCATTGCAATCCAAGCGAACATCTCAATCCCTCTATCTTTTTTTTTCTTTTCTTTTAATGTTTCTTCAGATCCCCTCTCTCCTCGCTTCGCCGCTGACGCAATGGTGACCTGGATCTCGGCAACGTTTTCCCCATGCATCTAGATGTACCTCCGAGCGAGACAACCATCACTCAACGCGGGCCGGCAAACGACGGGCGCGGGCTGGCTCGCCCGCCTCGCGATTATGTCATACACGCCCTCCCGGGGGTCGTACGCGCGTTATCCATCAAGTGGAGCGATAGATGGAGTGTGGAGAAAGCGAGATGTTTCACCGCCGAATCGTTTTCGCAGACCGCAGGGGTAGAGGGGCTAAAAGTGCAAGACGAAACTCAGAATTTCCTGGAGACCATGATTTGGATCTCCTGAGAAAATGGTCCCTTGCACTGGACATTTTCCAATTTTATAGTCTTATTACGCAGACGCACTGAGATGTGTAACCTTTGCACAATTGATTGATACTCTTAATTCGTATCTGAGATATCGTGTTTTGTATTTTGACGCCCGTTGTTATCAATTAGCATCACGATGTTTAGACTGTTATTCCACGCTGACAAATCTCGCCTTCATGTGCCTTGTGTATGTGGAATTCCTTGGCGGGTTTGCGACGAAGGAGCGACAGGAACACCAGACACAGAACCAGCGGCAAAACGGGAACAAGCTGAGGAAATCCCCAGCTCAAACGACTGAGAGGAACATGTACAAGAACCAGAAACTTCAACTAGAACCTGGTGGCTTTATCCTGTTCGAGTTTCCCTAATCTAACCGTCTGGCCGTGTTTCGGATCTCTAGTAATAGGGTTAGCCTCGAGACCAGACGAGCGTTTCTCTATTTTTCACTTAGGTTTTTAAGTAACAAGATCAGTGCACATTGGCTATTTTGGTCTTGGATCGTAGATGTGCACCCTTGCAACTGTGACAATTAGTAACGCAACTGTCGATATACTATATGAGAATTCCCTTCCCACGGGCGAGAGGAAATAATAGAATGTGTTAAGTTTATGGACACTACTTCAAAATTGCCAATTTGGAAGATTGGCTTTCACGCGTAATTATATTCAACTCAGCTACCTGGAGCCAGCTTAATTGCGCATTTCATGAAGGAAAAAAAAACTACCCTCAGGTTTCTGATGAAAACAGCGGAGGATGGCATTTTGCCACCAGGGAACTTTGGGTGTCGGGATGCTATATGGAATTTGTTGACAAACCGTGACGAGACAAATTTTGTCCGCAATTTGGAGCACACACTTTCCCTTATCGCCACACGTGTTTTTTTCATGAACGCCGGACGCAGTTGCCTAACTGCTCTGACGATCACGAATGTCTGACGGTTAATTCCGGTATCACTCGCACAGATCACGGCGATTGCTTGTTAATGGATCCGTTCAGTCAGGAGCCAGGAGACGATTGGGTGGAGCGCGCCGAAGCGCACAAATTTCGATGAAGGTTTAAAAAAAAAAGGGTACGGTTACCCAGCGGCGTGAGTACAGGGGTGCCCCGCCCTCAATTGAAATCTTTGAATAATCTCTGTTGAAATGCAGCTGCATCTTATTTTCTTCTGGGAAAGACAGTCTCCATAACTGATGTCGTATCCATGGAAACACGACACATTGAGAAACATGCGTTATGACGTCATAAGGGCGGGAAAGTGGAATTAATGTACAAAATATCGGTTGTGCATGACTTGTGCACGTCATCCGATATGAATCCTTGAGTGGAGTGACCCGTTAAAACCAGTCCTTCTGTTGATTCCTGTTTTCTTTCAATTCGTGTCTGAAATATATTCTTATTAGTGATTATTAACGGGAGGTTATCTAACAGTATTTCCTGGACCTTGTGATGTGGAAAGCGTTCTGACTCGCCGTATGATAACAATTTCCCGTATGGTTTCCCATACGAAATATGTACCGTTCTTGTCTTGTCTTGATGGAAGTGTATTTATATCAACTGGGAATGTCTTTACTTTAAGGGATACACATTCACGTTCATTTTAGAGTTGTTCCATTAACTTATTTCGAATAAACGAACGTAGAATTAACAGATGTAAATATTGACCCTATGTCAAAAAAGAAACGTATCCTTCCCTGTATATTTATACGGTACCTTTCCTGACATCTTCAATTATGCATAATTTGTTAATTGTACTCGTGACACTTGAGCTTATTATACTAATTTTTTTTTAGTTTGGAGAGTGCAAAAGTTGCTTGTATGTGCACAGGCTCGTATGTAAATATAAACGCAGTTCTGCGCATGCGTTGAAGACGCAGTTCGTGTATATCGATAACAGATGTGAACATTTTGCATAGTTTTGTATACGTTTTGTACAACATTAGCTTATTTACCCTGTGCCCAGAGAAGATCTTGCCCTCGTCAGAGCTCTCTGGAGACGTCAGTGCAGTCTAGGCACCGACAGGTTCGAGGCCAACAGAACATGTAAGCTGTCATCTAGGTAAAGAGAGAGGAGGCAGCGGCCTGCTTCGTTAGATTCCAGAGCTGCTTACTGAGAGAGTTGCGACAGAGTGCCTCAACTTTTGGAAACAAAATTGTAGATTTACACCAGTGTACATGGACAATTAGCACACAAAAGCTACATGCTGTTCTGCACGTAAAGTGAACGGCCATTTTGGTTCTAAGGTCAGAAGTTGGCGCAACTTCTCTGTAAACAGCTCTGATAGATTCCCTGCAGTGGCCGACTGTGACCTCGAAGATCGGTTTTCATTATTCAGACACGAAGACCCACCGTGGCAAATGATCTGCCTGCAACTTGTTTCAGACGTTTGTAGGCCTACTTTCCACAAAATGCAAGGCTTATACAAATTGGGCCTTTATACAAAAAGGAAATTAACCTTCGGTCAGCGGGATTTTTTTTCTCAAAATCTCATGTAACCACTGTTCCTGAGAAGTGTTCCTTTTAATTTGACGTGCGTTGAGTTTGCCTACTGCAGTGCCATGCGTATTTACAGGCCATAGAAACTGATAATCACTGGGCAACCGTGCAACAAATACGGACCATGGGGTCTGCCAATCGATCAAAAGTTACGTCTGCGAAAGTCTATGATTAGACCGAGCAGTGACGCACGGAGTGGTGTGTAATTATTCCGACTGTCAATCTGTAGGAAAAGATTCTCGTATCTTGGTTCTAAACATTCATCAAGGGGGCCATTTCGTGCACAGGTAGCCTGAGTATCAATTTCGTCTGCCGAACATAAACATTCGCATCACGAATGAAACTTGATTTGCCTGGCCGGCTCGGGGAGAGCGTTATGCGCATTACCCTTAACCATGCATATCTTTCGAACGTTGAAGCCCGTGTCTCTCTCATGTCACACCTCGGCGTTCACCGGTAGAATTAGAACAATCGGCCCGACGTGTTCAGTTTTTTTTTAAAGGCACACTTCCATGACTTTTAGGTCCCTTGCTAATTGGGGACCTGTTCTGTTCATGGTTTTCACATCAGGTTTTGTAATTGTATAGTATTTTGTATGCCATATTTTTACAAATTGTTATACCCCGAAAGATAACAGAGAATACATTCGTCCTGATATGCTTGTGACATTGCAGGTAACGGAACGTTGATACTATTTGCTAAAGTTGTTTATGTCTTAAATATTAATGAAACTGTTGGTACATAGTGAATGTTTTCGTAAACAGTGTTTTTTAAAATTCTTCCTTGTTTGAACAAAATTTTAAAAAGGATTTATCCCTTCCTACAGCCGAAGTATTGTCTAGACTCACATGATTTTGTGATATCGGTGATCATTACGAAATATCATTAAAGATAATTAGGCCTACTCCGTGTCACAACGCAAACATGGTACCTTTTGTCTCCTTGAGTGATTAGTCACAAACAGGCCTCACACGGCTACGGCTAGTCAGCCGGTGCCAACATGCTTGCTTTGTCCAAGATTCGCACGTGGCTTTAATAGAGTGAGGCGTCTTCGTGCACGTACCGGCTGTGTGTGGCACGGAACAGACCTCTTGCAATTGGTACTCGGCAACAGTTCCTTTAACATGACAAGGAACCATTGATAAAGCGTGAAGTACAATCCATCTATAGAATCCACGCAAGCCATATTTCGACTCCAGTCGCCAGTGAAACGCGCATGCTAACATTCTTGTCACAAGAAAAGCTCATCAGCTATGATTAAGTGCAGGCAAATCGCGGCTATGGCATCCAATCGACCTTCAACAAGCCACAAGCATAATACCTAAATAGAAATAATAGAGCGAATATGCAGCACAACCCTGTCAAAGTTACACTGAGTAAAACCCCTAAATCTCGCATAAGCTTTGATTTATTCCAATTAGGTTATCGACAAGGCCCCCTTAGGCTGTTTCATATCTAATGCACTTGTTTATTACGCATACCTTATATTTTACGACTGTGTCAACAGGGAATCACGTCAAGGTTGACCTTCTACATGGACATCCAAATTTTGGGTACCAAAGTTATATGTCGGCAAGGCGTCAGTAACAAGACACGACGATGTTGGCTTGCTTCCACCTTTGCGTGCACGTTGCACGTTTTCAAGCCGTTGTGC